ACCAGGCTTTATTTGAAGGGCAAGTTTACCTTTTTACAAAATGTGAAAAAAATTGACTTACTCACAGCAGTTTCCCCTGGTTTTGCTTGTAAAAAAGTGAACTTACACTTTAAATATATTCCTATACAGCCCCAGAGAATATAAATCTACTTTGCATGCACCAAACGCCATTACAACCCCAAAAAAGCAATAACATCAAGACTGCACTGCACATAGCGTGAGCAAAGAGCAGAGCTGTAGGAGGATCCCAACAGGCTCCACCCACTAAAGGCTGCCAGCAAAAAACTACATAGGGGTGGATACAAGACCAGTCACCCTGCACAAAGAGAGAGCAGAATTGGCTGGTCTGTACAGGAATCTCCTGCACAGTCAAAGTTTCACATCGGATTACTGCACAGATCTGGAAGAAATACACAAAGCACACCAAGCGTCACACAAGCATTCAAGTGGTCATTGCATTTAGATAATTGCTTATTACTGGGTTTCAAAGTGATGTGCTACTGTCTGTAGAGACACTGCATCACAGAGAAGTGCTAATATCTGTAAATATTGCATCGCAAGCTTAAGGGTTAGGAAACTAACTGAAAGGCCCACCAGGCCGCTGGTCCTGTGCGAAGTAACCAAAAACCTGTATTGCATAGTGCTCATTAGTTATAGAAACTCTGGTCCCTTAAAATGTAATCAATAACCCTTTCTGCAATGAACAAGAAGAAAAAAAAAAAACACTACAGCGTTATCATCATTGTTATAGCATGTCATGTCATAAAAAGCACTCACCAGGAAAAAACAAAAGTGAGGCGAATAAAATGGCAACTACTACTTTACATGCATTAGATGAAAGTGTGAGTAACCAAACAGAGAACGGTATTGTGACCACAGAACCAAAACATGGTGCAATGTGAGGGGGTGGGAAGCCATACTATGCCAGATGCCTTTTATGAATTGTGCAGACTGTAACACATGAGAGAAAAACAAAACAGCCTTCAGAGAAAAGACAAGCACAAGAAAAACTCTTTTTTCCTCATAAATATCTAACAAGTGGCCAGTTAATAAATAATCATCAACATTCCAAAACAACAACAACATCCCGCCAACGCACAAGTTTCACTTCAAATGACTCTGTGATCTACTGCACTCCATAAACCTGGGGACAGAGCGTCAGAGAACGGAAAGAAACATTCCACTGACACAGCTCAAACCAAAACGATGATGGAAAAGGGAAACGGACAATTTAAACTTCATTTACCAGGAAATACAAGAGAGCGAGACATATTTGTAACATGTATAGTCAATGTTCACATTTCAGAGATCTGCGTTTGTACACTGGACGGCTCAGGGTTCATACACACGGCCGGAAGAAACAAAATGCTGTATTTGTATTGCTGAGCGCAGGTCTATTGTCTTCTACAGGCCCATGCCCGGGGTGCGTAAGGATCAAGAAACGTGTTCAGATCTGTCTGGACTATCAGAACAGAAAAATCTTCGCCCAAGGTCAGTCATTTCCACTTAAATGTCATAGAACAGAAGTAGAATTTTGGGCATCTAAACACTCTATGGGCACTTATGCGGGTCATACAAGTACTTTACCGACGTTTATCCCGTTTTGGTTTGTACGCAGATTCTCTGTCTGCAAGCCTCTGCCAGCAAGATCCCACATAGATGATCAGTAATGTCATTGCGGCCGTGTAAATAAGGCCTACAGTGACACAGGAACATGGGAAGGATAGGCAGGTGATTTGTGCTTAGTAGTTGGCATTGTACACCGACATGTCACATATGCCCTTTGCTGTAGGCCTCGTTCTCATGGGCATGAAAAAGGAACTCTAGCATTTTTAAATATTAACCCTTGCAATGAGGCTACCCCCACACTGTGAAGGTTAACTGCTCCTTTTGGTCTAGGCTACCCCCACACTGCAAGGGTTAACTGCTCCTTTCGGTCTAGGCTACCCCCACACTGCAAGGGTTAACTGCTCCTTTTGGTCTAGGCTACCCCCACACTGCAAGGGTTAACTGCTCCTTTTGGTCTAGGCTACCCCCACACTGCAAGGGTTAACTGCTCCTTTTAGTGTTCAGATCTGTCTGGACTATCAGAACAGAAAAATCTTCGCCCAAGGTCAGTCATTTCCACTTAAATGTCATAGAACAGAAGTAGAATTTTGGGCATCTAAACACTCTATGGGCACTTATGCGGGTCATACAAGTACTTTACCGACGTTTATCCCGTTTTGGTTTGTACGCAGATTCTCTGTCTGCAAGCCTCTGCCAGCAAGATCCCACATAGATGATCAGTAATGTCATTGCGGCCGTGTAAATAAGGCCTACAGTGACACAGGAACATGGGAAGGATAGGCAGGTGATTTGTGCTTAGTAGTTGGCATTGTACACCGACATGTCACATATGCCCTTTGCTGTAGGCCTCGTTCTCATGGGCATGAAAAAGGAACTCTAGCATTTTTAAATATTAACCCTTGCAATGAGGCTACCCCCACACTGTGAAGGTTAACTGCTCCTTTTGGTCTAGGCTACCCCCACACTGCAAGGGTTAACTGCTCCTTTCGGTCCAGGCCACCCCCACACTGCAAGGGTTAACTGCTCCTTTTGGTCTAGGCTACCCCCACACTGCAAGGGTTAACTGCTCCTTTTGGTCTAGGCTACCCCCACACTGCAAGGGTTAACTGCTCCTTTTTGTCTAGAGTAGCAAATTAAAAAAAAAAGATATTTACCTGATCCCGCCTGGCTGCTAGACTGGTCCCCGCTGCCTCTTCTTCCCCAGCAGTCTAAGGCCCAATGACATCATGTTTATGCAAGGTCCATTCAATTGCATTAGACATGAGAGCACCGAGGGACATACCACAGCCGATGTAAAGGGGGAGAGAGGTGGCCAGTCACCACCACAGGACCAAGGTTCAGGAGAGTGTATCTTTATTCTCTTCCCTAGCCCAAAATGAGCCGTTAACCTTCTCCCCCTGCGCTCTTGCTGTGGTATGTCCCTCGACCCCCTCACATCTAATGCATGCGAATGGACCTTGCATTAACATGATTAGGGATGCAGCTAACGATTATTTTCATAATCGATTAGTTGCCCGACTATTTTTTCAACTAATCGATTGGTTGTATTAAAATATCTCTCTCTCTCATAATCGATTAGTAGTTGCAGCCCTAAACGTGATGTCAGCGGGCCTTAGACTGCTGGGGAAGGAGAAGCGTTGGGGGCCGGTCTAGGCGGGATCAAGGATCAGAGATAGAGATATATCGATTTTTTTTTTATTTGAGCAGTTAACCCTTGCAGTGTAGCCCCACTGTAAGGGTTAACTTTTGAAAATCCTCGCATTCTTTACCCCAGGTGTATGGCTCGCATTCTTTACATCAGGTGTAACAGCCACCTTGATCTTGGGGGCCCACAGCACTTCAATCTGCACTGCCTTAAACCTTGTGTGCAAAGTCTGGCCACCAACCTCCAATGCCCCTCTGCACCTGCTGAAAAAGCATGTCTCCAGCAGACTTCCTTTAGGAACAGGCAATGGGGGCCTTTCTGTATCCAGGCCCGGGTGAACTTCAGCCTTTCAGAGCACATTGTTCATTAAAGGCGAGTCACGTGGTGGAGGAAGCCACGGCTTAGTGGCTTTTGTAGCTTGTGGACAGATTCCTGCATGCTAATTCAATCGCCAAATAAAACTGCGAGAGAGGACGGCGACGCTAACACGACAATATGTTGAAAAGGATTCTTATTTGCACACTTAGCGATTCCCAGCGAGCTCTTGAGAAATCAGAGGCGGATTACAGTTCATAAATTTGACAGCGGCTAAACAAATCCTGCTTTAAACACAAAACAGATGTTTTTAGTCCATTTAACAAAAACAGAGCGGCGGTGTGCAATGAGCGATCGCAACCAGTCAGAGGTGACGCTTGCAAGAGGTAATGCCATCAGCTATATGTGCTGATCAGTTGCTAGGGGTTACCGCCCTGTTGCTTTTGCATTATTTTTTTTAAAAGACCCATTCTCTACACGGTTTATACGTCACCATTCAGATACAGTTCAAAGTTCAAAGCTAGCAAAATATGAGATCTGACAGGAAAAGCAAGAGAAAAAAAAAAAAGTTGCTGGGATTTCATGGATCACAGTCCAAAGTAAAGATATTTACACGCTACGCTCCCTTCAAGCTTCCTTTGTACTAGGCTGTGTGGCGAGAACAGGCAACCTTGAACATTGTTTGCAAGACTGAACTGCGTGAATGGATGGTTTGAAATGGGATGCATCGGATGAAAATTATTTTTGCCAAGAGTTACATTTGCATACCAAATACTTGGTCACGTAGGGGGCTCTTGTTTTTTTTTGCAGGCTCCACCAAGAGCACTATAGGCCTCTCCGCCAGCAAAGTACTTGCGTGTCTGCATGCCAAGTTACGTCTTCTAGGCCTTTCCAGAAAGGAAGTAGAAGAGTGGATTGTGTAGCACGCATAGAATGGGGTTCACGCTTGTTATTAAACCTTTTTTTTTTTTCCCAGGCAGGAGGAAAGGCCAGCATCTTATTCAAGCGCAGAACCTGCGGATAAGATTAAGTCGCACGGCGATCTCTCTAGGAAAGATGTTAACGAGCATGCGGCGTAAACAAAGCTTGACTTACTAGACGGACACGAACTAGGAGAGATCTAGTAACCTGAATGTATAGGGAATGAAAGAAGATCTCATTAAAAGTTAAATCTGAGTTCAAAAGGAAGGGGGAAAAAAAAAAAAAGGATCAGTCGGACGCATAGGTTTCTATTTATTATGAGATCGACGGCTTAACGTGACGCAACCTGGGAAAAGTCGCAGGCTCAGGTGTGCCTAGGTGGGGATTCTTTGTTAGTCAATGGCCAGGCCATGTTTTTGGGTAGATGGTACAAGGGGGGGGGTGGGGGGATGGTTAATGCACTGACTGTCATGCAGTGATGGAATGCAATGAGTGCACACTGGTGTCGGTGCACTGGGTCATGTGCCTCCATGGCTGGCTTTGCGTTTACCTGTTTGCCCCGATAGAAAAGCCTCTGTCTGTCCGGGGTCACGTTAAAACTCTCCTCGATCTTTAACCTCAGGCTCTCGATCTTGGTGAGCCGGGACAGGTCATCTATGGTGCGGGTCTCCGTGCCATCAATGGTCCTCACCTGGATCCACATCTCGTCGTGCAGTGTACCGATTGAGGATGAGATGTACGGATCACCTTGTTTATTACAGCCCCTGGTGATCGGTACCGCTTAGGGCATCCGATTTGCCGATGACAGCCTCGCAAAGCAAAACAAAGAGAGCACAAGTAGCGCAGGCTGCGCCGATTAGTCCTGCCGCTGGTCCCCGCACCGGCTCTGGTGAACGGGCTGCTGATGCTGGTGTTGTTGTTATTATTATTGTCTAGTCGTGTAAGCACCGGGTAGCCATGTCTGAGCTGCTCTGGGAGTGTTTACTAGGAGCTGCTGCTCTCACATGGGGGTCACGGCGCCAAGCTAAAATCTCGCGAAATGAATCCGGGCCCGGCCTTCCTGACACAGGCGGGCTTGGCCCCGCCCACTTCTCCGGTGCATGCTTCCTCTCCTCACAGCAACATGCAGACGGGGCCTCACGTTACATGTGTGCTGCCCTCACATGTGCCTGTGTGCTTCTCTACCCACACGGCACGTGTCAGCCAGAGAATTCTGCTTTCCTCTCATGTTTAGAAAAAGGTGTCCAGCACCAAGGGCTTGAAAAAATCCCTCATTGAAAAATAGCTATTTTATTTTTACACTGCAAAAAATGGCAGTATAAAAAGATCTGACAAATTGGGCAGCACGGCGGCTTAGTGGTCAGCCCTTTTGTCATGCAGCACTGCGGGCTACCTGCATGCAGTTTGCATGGTCGCCTCGTGCTTGCCTGGGTTTCCTCCCATATTCCAAAGACATGCTGGTAGTCTTAAGTGGCTGCTGTTTAAATCTGGCTTTGCTCTGGCCGTGTTTTCTCATTCAGCCCCGAGTCCCGATGGGGCCAAACACTGGTGCAAAGTCGGCCGAGTCCTGAAATGTTATCAGTGTATGGCCAGCTTAAGGCCAGCATTTCCACTTCTGCAGTCACATTTGAGAAAACCCCTCTATGTGTTTGTTATGTGACCCTATTATAAATATACAGGATTTATATAGCGCCAACAGTTTGCGCAGCGCTTTATAAAACTGAGGGAAATAATACAGTACAGGAGCCAGCAGGGCACTGCTCGTGAGAGCTTACAATCCAGTATTTACAATGCATGCCAAGGCGGGAGGGCACTGCTCGTGAGAGCTTACAATCCAGTATTCACAATGCATGCCAAGGCGCGAGGGCACTGCTCGTGAGAGCTTACAATCCAGTATTCACAATGCATGACAAGGCGTGAGGGGACTGCTCGTGAGAGCTTACAATCTAGTATTCACAAAGCATGCCAAAAAAAAAATGTCCAAAAAAATCTTACCTTTCACATGTTTGGTTGCAAAAGGCAACATAGCGGATTTCAGTTTTTTCTCAGCACCCTCAGAGGGATCTGTCCTTATAGAAAGACTTAGGACTGAGCGACTGAAGATTGAGTTTCTCTCATTAACGTCATTAAACTTAAAATGGAGAAGCCCACAGCCCTTCCTGACAGTGTAGAAGAAAGAGAAGCAAGTAGAAAGATTAACCTGGCCTACCTCTACACAGGCTATCCCCCCTTCAGTCTATCATGAATGCAGCTGCTAGGCTCATCCACCTAACCAACCGCTCAGTGTCTGCAACCCCCCTCTGTCAATCCCTACACTGGCTTCCTATAGCCCAAAGGATAAAATTCAAAATATTAACAACCGCGTACAAAGCCATCCACAACTCCGGCCCCGGCTATATCTCCAACCTGGTCTCAAAGTATTACCCTAACCGTCCCCTCCGCTCTTCACAAGACCTCCTGCTTTCCAGCTCCGTCATCAACTCCTCCCATGCTCGCCTCCAGGACTTCACTAGAGTGTCTCCCATTCTATGGAACTCTCTACCCCAACCTGTCCGTCTATCTCCCACACTGACTGCCTTTAGGCAATCCCTTAAGACTCATCTCTTCAGGGAAGCCTATCCCACCTCAACCTAACCACTGAACAATCACTTTCTCAAACAATCATCCCCGCACAGCTACCTCCTCATGTATCACTTGCCCCTCCCTTTTAGATTGTAAGCCCTCACGGGCAGGGCCCTCCTTACCATCTTGTCTTAAATTGTATTGTGACTGTAATGTCTTCCTTATATTGTAAAGCGCTGTGCAAACTATTGGCGCTATATAAATCCTGTATAATAATAATAATAACCCATAAAGTATAATTAAACCTTCAGGTTTTTTGGATATATCTACTGCTAGCAAGCAGTTGATATATGCAAAAACACAAAAAAAAAAGTACCAAATAGGTTAAAACATATCTCTCTGGCGCTCGCTCCTGTCCAAAGTTCTGAAGATTCTTTGGCAGCCGTGAAGGATCAAGGGGCGGGCGCAGGAATAGAGATCTTTTGCCGGGAGAAGAGGAGAGACACAGGGTAAGTCAATGCAGGTAGCCGGGCAGCGTACACGTGCACAGAACCCGTAGGACACAGAAGACACAGCAGTCAGCGCTGGATCAGAGACTGGCACCAGCGCTGTGGGGACTCATGAAAACTACTGGAAAGAAGATGGTCGGATCAAGAGGCATCATTTAAGGTAAGTATAGAGCTGCAACAACTAATTGATTAAAATCGATAATGAGAATTGTTGGTAACAATTCTCATCATCGATTAGTTGCTGCTGTAATCCTCCCTGCTGGTGCTGGCTGCAGTGGTATGTGTCCCTTCAAATCCCTGCTGCTCTCCCTGCGTGTGTCGGCATGAGGCAGCGGGAACACAGACCGCCACAGTGGGCACCAGCTGTAAATAAAAGGTTTTTTTTTTAATTATATTGGCTTAGTTTTACAATTCACATTATTTAAAATCCATGAACCTAATTAAAATGTGTAATATAATACATACATTTTTTTTTTTTTTAAATATATATATAGCTTTTTAATAATTGTATGTATATAAATAAAAGGTGGGAAAAGTCATTTTCAGTTTCAGCCTGACAAATTTTGCTGCAGGAGGTGCATTGCAGTGCCATTCATTTCAATGGATCCCAAATGCATTTTTATATATTTTTTTAAAATAAATGATGGTATTAATTTTTTTATTTTATCCGATTAATCGAAGTTAATTATCGGCTAACTAATCGTTTATGAAAATAATCGTTAGCTGCAGCCGTAGGTAAGTACTTAAAGCAGCATTGGGAGGGGAGGAAAAATTTGTGACTTTAATGACACCTTAAGAAACCCTAACCCAAGTAAAAGGAATTTAACCACCTCCTGGCCGACCGTTGTAATTAGACGGCCCGCCGGGAGCTTCCTGGATGTAACAGGCAGTCAAAAGATGTCCTCTTGGCCCTGCCCACCCGTGCGAGCCAGAAACTGCCCAAATTTAAAAACAGGCAGCGATGCCTGTTTACATACAAGCAATAGCCAGTGGATTTCTTGTATGAGGTGCCGACCGGTGCGCCCCCCTCCCGCTGGTCCCGAGCTCAGCTGTCCCCAGTGCGAGCCCGGACCAGCACGGTGGCTCTGTGACAGGGGATCAGAGGGAGTTGGTACACAATCTCCCTCCGGTCCCCTCTCTGGTGTCAGAATGCGGAAGTGATGTACATAACATCACTTCCGCATTCTTGTGCACTCTGCAGCTTCAGAAGCTGATGAAGCAGATCTATGCTCGTATCCCTGCATTATACATGAGGACACCAAGGGACAGTCCACAAACCTAAACGGAGGGTTTTTGTTTAATAACTGTTATTAAACAGTTTAGTAACTGATTGGGCCACGCCTTAGCAGCAAGAACTGCAATCAAGCGTTTGCGATAACTTGCAATGAGTCTGTTACAGAGCTGTGCAGGAATTTTGGTCCACTCATCTTTGCAGAATTGTTGTAATTCAGCCACATTGGAAGGTTTTCGAGCATGAACTGCCTTTTTAAGGTCATGCCACAGCATCTCAATAGGATTCAGGTCAGGACTTTGACTAGGCCACTCAAAAGTCTTCATTTTTTTTTTCTTCAGCCATTCAGAGGTGGACTTGCTGGTGTGTTTTGGATCATTGTCCTGCTGCAGAACCCAAGTTCGCTTCAGCTTGAGGTCACGAACAGATGGCTGCACATTATCCTTCAGGATTTTTTGGTAGACAGCAGAATTCATGGTTCCATTTATCACAGCAAGTCTTCCAGGTCCTGAAGTAGCAAAACAGCCCCAGACCATCACACTACCACAACCATATTTTACTGTTGGTATGATGTTCTTTTTCTGAAATGCGGTGTTACTCTTACGCCAGATGTAATGGGACACACACCTTCCACAAAGTTCAACTTTTGTCTCGTCAGTCCACAGAGTAATTTCCCAAAAGTCTTGGGGATAATCAAGATGTTTTCTGACATAACAGAGACAAGCCTTTATGTTCTTTTTGCTCAGCAGCGGTTTTCGTCTTGGAACTCTGCCATGCAGGCCATTTTTGCCCAGTCTCTTTCTTATGGTGGAGTCATGAACACTGACCTGAACTGAGGCAAGTGAGGCCTGCAGTTCTTTGGATGTTGTTGTGAGGTCTTTTGTGACCTCTAGGATGAGTCGTCGCTGCGCTCTTGGGGTAATTTTGGTTGGCTGCCCACTCCTGGGAAGGTTCACCACTGTTCCATGTTTTCGCCATTTGTGGATATGGCTCTCACTGTGGTTCGCTGGAGTCCCAAAGCTTTAGAAATGGTATCATAACCTTTTCCAGACTGATAGATCTCAATTACTTTCTTTCTCATTTGTTCCTGGATTTCTTTGGATCTCAGCATGATGTGTAGCTTTTGAGGATCTTTTGGTGTACTTCACTTTGTCAGTCATGTCTTATTTAAGTGATTTCTTGATTGTGAACAGGTTATTTGCATACTGATGTGATTTTTAGTAAAAGAAGGTAAAGGTCCACTTTAATAAAAATAAAAAAAATATCCTATCTCCCCAACAGGCACACAGATGGTAGATTGGTAGATGTTCTAATCCATCCCCACTGTAGCCAAAATAAAATACAATTTGCTGGGGTTAGTCTTTAATAGGTTGTCATTGAAAAATAATAGGAAACACTATATGAAAAGATATGTAAAGAGTATTTAAATAATTTTTGGGGTCAATAATGTGGATCAATATTTCCCCATAGTGCTGGCTTAAGGTCTCATGTAGCTAGGTATGGAGTGACTAAAGGTGCCCATACACTGCTCGATTCTCGTACGAGAATCGGGCGAAATCCCGCGATCGTACGAGAATCGAGCAGTGTGAACGAAGACGTGCGACCGTTTCTACTGTACGGTCGCACATCTTTTATTTCGATGATCGCAAGTACGATCTGCCCGTCCAAGGTGGGCAGATCGTACGGGCTTTCAAGAAGCATACGACCATCGCAAGACAAAAGTCTTGCGATGGTCGTAAGGTGTATGGGCACCATAAGTTGTAGCCTAGGGCTACATGAGCAATTAAATCTCTTTGCTATTG